TAACGGGACATAGTCAGGCCATAATCTCTTCTCCTTCATTCTCCTACCTGTCAGGATTTTGGGCCTGTGCATGCATGTAACCCCACACACACACAACACACACACACACACACACACACACACACACACACACATTTGTCTGGTGTGTTTTCAAGCTACCAGGGCCAGGATTCTAACCATGGTCAGCCATGCAGAATCTAGCTCCCAAAGCATAGGGCCTCACACTGGATTATGAGGTCTGAGAAACATTACTTTAGAGTTAGAAAGTAAGTGAAATTTTCTCTGAAGACTGAATATACAAATAAACAAATTATTGTCTGGAATATTCTGGAATAAGTGCAGTACTGGAGTAAAACCCCAGGGAACAAAGGAAACATTGGAGGGCAGTCAACAAAAAGAAGATGAAATGTAGTTTGGGAAAGGTAGAGTAGATATTAAAATGAGAGAGCAGAGTATTAGACCAGTAGAGTGTTCATTTTGAATAGGGGAGAACTATGAATGAAATGATCTAGTTTATATGCATTCAAGTTTTACTAACATTATCATGAACAATGCTAGATCTAGAAGAGTTAGCATAGACCCTGAGGAATTGCAACCTTAAAGCAGGATGGGAACTGTTTTTTGTGGCTCAGTGGTAAATTTCTCCAGGTACTAACTGAGCTATGAGCTATATATCAATGTCAGATCATGGCTTAAAATTCCTCCTTGTGGGGGATCAACAGATGGTGTAATGGTTATATCACCAGACTCCCATGTAGTCAATCATGGTTCGAGTCCTGAACCCAGTGACTTAAAACTCATGCCAAGTGCATTTGCGTGCATGCCCAAGATCCTGAGAGAATGGAGAAGGGTTTGCATGGCCATCGTTCCTGAGGGGTGATTTCTCACTTTCTGTCTCTGTCTCTCTGTCTCTCCAGTGAGTGCCTACTCCCTATAGAAAAAAATATCTCTAAGGGATACTTCAATTATCTTCCAAGGTATCAAGAAAAGACTACTTTAGTCCATAACTAAAGTACAGTCAGTATTTTACATGGTCTCCAAAATGTGCAGGTAATTTTGAAATAGAGGAGGAAGGTTGTACTCTTTCCTTGAAAGAGTCAATTAGATATGTCAAATATTTACAAAAAATTCAAGGCATCTGGTTTTCTAAATTCTGAAGTACTATTTTAATATATGTATTAAAAGACATGGAGAGATGGAAGCAAATAAAGGAAATGCCTCATATTCAGTAAAAACTATCTTAAAAGTCATTAATGGGATTGGAATCAGTAACCTAGATCCCATCTCATCAGGAAGCAAGCAAGATAATAGGTATATTCCCACAGATCATCAGCCCGAAGGGACAAAAACAAAACAAAACAAAAATCAATGAGTATTGATAATGCACTAAAAAGAAAAACAATAGGGATGCCTCATTGTCTCTGGATAAAGCCAGAAAACCTGAGTATTTCCAAACCACTTCCATTCTTAATAGAGTACCATTATAGTACATGCCATGGCTTCAATATACACTTTCCTATCTCTGGCCGTCACCACTGCGGCTCCACTGTGGGTTACTGCTCTTCCGGTGACTGACACTGTCAGTGAGTGTGGCACTGAGCACCAGTGTGCTTCAGGCTGAGGACACAGCCACTCCCTCAAGTTGGTAAATCCGTCCAAGCCACTTACTGTCTGGGCCTTTTGATATTTTTTCTCGAGCCTGTGAGATTGTTGACACCCATCTATTTAAGTGCTATGGCGAGGGCGTGGCTGTCTCTCATCTTGTGTAGGGGCATGGGAACCTCCTATTACTATTTCGTTCTCATTCCTAACACCCTTTCACCCTTTGCTTTAATCTCCCTCTTGAAACGTCAGGACAAATCTTTGGAGTACTTGTACATTATTCATTTAATCATTTAGTCAGTCATCTCTCTCTCTCTCTTTCGCTCTCTTTTTTTTTGCAGGGAGGGGGGGTTGCCATAGAGTATGTGAACTTCCTGGAAAGAGACTGAGAGTAAGTTAGTGAGAGGGAAAGTGAGAAATCATCCCCTGGGGGTGGGGAATGGCACACTGCAATCCCTTCTCCATATTCCTTCCAGGATTCTGGGCATGCATGTACACACACCAGGCGTGATTTTTAAGTCTCCGGGTCTGGGACTCAAAACACAGTCAGCCATGTGGGAATCTAGGGCCTCAACCATCATGCCACCTGCTGGCCCAAATAAAATTTGTTTGTTTATTTTATACTTTAAAAAATATTATTTATTCTATGTAACTTTGTTTTTTATTTTATTTTATGAGAGAGAGAGAAAGTTGCCAAGCCCACAACTTGAACCGTAGTTGACCACATTGGATTCCAGCACCCCAACCTCCACCATACCACAACACCCTAAAATTTGTTTTTTATGGAGCCTCTTCTTGGTGTCAACTCCTCTTGTAAGCACAAAGCATGTAGCAGTCAGCAAAACAGTCAAATTCCCTGCGCTCATGACCATTCTATTTTTGTAAGCAAGTAAGCAAGATGTAAGCATAATAAAACAATAGTGCCTGAGAATAGTTAATAAGGCAGCAATTAGAATGATATTGCCGCTACAGTGTCTATTCGATACTCTAAGTTAATATTCATTTCGACATGTGTGAGCAGAACCTAATACTTGGGATCGAATGTATCTTTGCTTGTGGGCGAGATCGCGCTATTTTTCTCCCATGTTTTTCCATGCTGCTGAGCAATGGCACTTCTCTTAGTGACTAGAAGTTCTCTCCTGGAAGTGATTCTGGAGTCAGAGCTCACAGGATCTGTCTCCACTCACTCGGTGTCTGTGCAGTGGCAATGTCTGCAGGTTGCACTTCTGGCTCTCCAGGACAGCGCACACCCTGTTCATACATGTACCTTGCAGTACTCTGCTCCCTGTGTTGGCCCGACTCTCCAATTCCCCAGCCCACTTTTGTTTCTGGTCTGTTGAGTGGGCTCCATTGGGGAACTCACCCACAAGCACCTTCTGAAGATACGTTCCCTAGTTAGGAGGGCATGTTACGGTGCAATCAGTGTCTTGTATTTTCCTTTCCTATTCTATCCTCATGGTCTAGTGTTTATCTCCGTGAAGAAATGTAGCTATCTGCACTAAAGAACTGGAAGGTATATGCCACCCGCCACTGGTTATGCATTCAGAATGAGTGAGTCCAAAATCCCATTTCACCACTTTGCTGGATAGATAAATCTGGATGGGAAAAATAAGTTAACCTTTATTTTTAATGTAAGTTTTATTATATTTTTGTTTATTTCTAAGAGCGAGAGAGGTGCGGGCACCCCCTAAAAGGTTCTCCATGCTGTGATTCACCCCTAGACTGAGCAGCCCAGGCCATGGGCATATCCATGCACACAACTGGTTCCTGGGACATGGACCCAGGATCTTTCCCGTGTGGATGCAGTTGCACTGTCACTGCCCAGCCCCAAGTAAGCCTTTCTAAACTTCTCTTTCTTCATCTATAAAACGGAATATAAAAGCCCTGGGGAACAGTGGGAACTCCAAACAGAAGAAAAAGAAGCTTCTCTCCAATGTCACACCATAATTAGAGAAGAATTCTTGGGCAAGCAGAAAGAGAGAGGAGAAGGAAGTGAGGGCAGTCATGCCCTGATTTTTGGGCAAGACCCCACGGGGAACTGAATGCGTTGTGTGTCTGAGCATGTGTGGGCTCAGAGGTGCTGAGGAGAGAAACCACCCACAGTGACATGGCACATAAATAATTTTCCAGACTCTCAGCAAGGCAGAGGAATAGGAGAGAATATAATGTGGCCTGAGGAATCAGGCAAACAGGAATGATATTCCTCCATGAATAATGTCAGGGATAGATGATTCGAAACCACTCTAGGGGTCAGGTGGTAGAACAGTGGTAATGCAATGGGACTCATATGGGAAAGGCACTGGGTTTGCATCCTGGGAGTTCCCTGTGCATGCCCAGCACTCACACACACACACACACACACACACACACACACACACCTGTGATGCTGGCCAGCTCTGCCTTGGGTTGGAGTGCAGCATGAAGACCTTATTATGGGTACCTATCTGTCTGTCTTTCTCATGGACCAAAATAAAAAAATAAAATTACCAAAAAAAGGAAAGAGAAATAAATAGCTCTGAGCTTTCTTCCCACCCTTCTGTGCTTTCTCCAGCATTTCAACATTCGTCTCCTAGAGAGAGACTACCTGGATATGGGTAGAGGCCTCATCGCTGACTGGTTTTGTAAACTTATGGAAATAATTTATTCCATTTGTGCTTCAGTTTCCTCATTTTAAAAACGGGAGTAATCACATTCCTTGCATTAAAGAATGGTTTTGAGGATTAAATGAGTCAGTAAAACTAAAGTGCTTAGTGCCTGGAATGTAGAAAAAAGCAAAATATCAATTATGGGGACTGTTTGGGCGTCTCTGCAGCTACTCTAAGGGCTCACAGGGGTTGGCCAAGGACCAGTCCTGGAGGCATTGTTGGGAATGTACTGGGTGAAAGCAGTGCAGTCTTGCCAATCCCAACTGAGAAGTGGATTTCCTACACAGCCATCATTACCCTTATTGCCATAATGCTTTCTAGAACTTTGTACCTCAGAAAGGGGGAAGTTCCAAATTAATTATTATAAAATTTCTGTTAGGTGACAGAAGTTTCTAATTATGTAATGAGTTATGGAAAAAATACAGAATTTGAATTTTGAATGGCTTCATAAACTATTACTTCCTATTTTAAATTATAAACCACAAAAATTATTGCTATTCAGGATTCATGACAGGAGAACACAGTCCCTCTGTTTTGTTACGTATGAAAGTTCTTGAGGCCATCTCCAGTCCCAGGGCTCATATATTCCAACCACCCTATCTTATACTCGGTGACGCTTAATCCACTCGGTGAAAGTGCTCCGTTTTCTCCCGCCCTGAGGGTCTTTGTTAGGCTGGCTCTCATTTCTTTCAAGTTCTTTCTTTGACCTACTCTCCTAAAATTGTGAACTATTTCTTTTTCTTTTTTCTTTTTTAAAATATAAAACGCTTCATGAATTTGTGTGTCACCCTCGCTCCGGGACCATGCATCTCTGTGTGGTTCCAATTTTAGTTATGTGTGCTATTGAAGCGAGCGCTGAGCTACTTCCTGACTTCACAGAAGCCTCCCTTGGTGGCTCTCATCATTATCCTTCTTTCTACACCCTGTTTCATCACTATTCACAATTGTGTATTTATTTGTTTACTTGGTTATTATCTGTCTCTCTTTCTAGACTTAGGATCCATAGGACAGAGAGTCTGTCTTTCACTGACTTCCAGTAGTCAGGGTTGAACGCAGTACTAGGTTCAGATAGTTGCTAGCTATTTTTTATTCTGCTCATAGCATTCACATGAGTGTGTCCTATACCCGTCCTTTTTCTTAGATCAGAGACAAAAAAGACTAGTTTTTGCAAATAATCTAGTACATTATCATCAAATTTAAGAGACAAGTAACACAAAGCAGAGTAACGTGGCAGATGGGACTTAGGAAGTTCCTTGTTACACTGTAGTTGAATAGATGTAAAAAGCCGTTTCCC